CCATTGGACCGATCAGTGTAGGCCTGTCACTGTTTAGCGGGGTAGCAAAGGATCTCTTGAGTGAACGAGTGCTCCCGACAACTAAACGACACGGGACCAGCATCAGCAGTGGGTGATCAGTTCTTACCACTCGGGTGCACAACACCACGTGTCCTCGGTCAGCTAGAAGTGTTACCTACTGGCCATAGACACCTGCTGGCGTTCTCTCTTCCTGCCCATGGACGCACTGGGAGTACACTGAGGCTATCTGAGTAAATTAATGGTCACACACTGAGACCGTGAGTCTAGGACTCTAGGAGATACCTAGAGGAACATTTTATCTCCCTTATTACGGGTGTAGTTAATACCATTTCTCAGACTGATATTATCTGACGTGTGTAGTTTAATATTTCTTAAATAATTTTGATAGTAGTGTTTTTTGAATGTTTGTGTCATTAAGTGGAACCAGAGTGATACTGGGGTTTGATTCTTTTAATGCATCTAAATTTTCTCCATAATTCTGATCTCAGGTATAACCTTTGTTCCCCAGAGTAGTGTTTAAGTTAGGTTAGGAAGAGTGCATCTGTTGGGGTGATATAATTTTGTTGAGTGCCCTTAAGGCCTATTCATTGTAGAGTATTTAATTTCTTATTTTTAATACCATTTCCTAAATGACTGATATTATTTTGTGAAAGCCCTTAAGGCCTGTTTCATGTGTGCAAGCAACATTTCTTAATACTTCAAATTTATTGTTGCCTGAGTTTCTAATAATTTCTATATCATGTATAACTTTTATTCCCCAGAGTAGTGTTTTAAGTTCAAATTAAGAGGTGCGCATATTGGTGTACCATTATTTGATTGTGTTTGTAGTGTTGGAGGGAATATAAGTGTTTAAATTTTACAGTGTGTCTCATTCATCCCAGTCACAGACGCTATCCTTCCACGGGTCACGGACAATTCATTTTGTTTAGTAGATTTAAGTGTTCTTGTGCTGGTTCGGGATTTTTCTCAAAGGGGCGCTTCCACTGCCATTACCATCTATTAATTTTTAATAAACCCCAAGTCAAGTGAGGAAATAAAGTCCAGTATATTCCGACCGGTTACATATATATATATATATATATATATATATATATATATATATATATATATATATATATATATATATATATATATATATATATATATATATATATATATATATATATATATATATATATAAATATGTTTGCGTAATATATGTATGTAGTAAGTACATACCGGTAACCTTTTTCACTCAAATCCTAATGAAACACCACAATTAGAATACGGTGGTTGCTGTTGAACCACCTGTTGTATAAATAGTCGGAACACAGTCACACCACTGAGACGAGGGAACACTCCCACCACCGATCGTCTCGTGCGAAGCAAGCGTATAAATGAAAGAAAATACTTGCAGTGTGTTTAATATGTTACAGTATATTATAAATAAATAAATAAACAAATAAATCAGTAAATCCATTTCAAGTACTGTAAATGGAAAAACTTTACTCGACACCGACATTAGTTCCAGTTACCGGTAAATAGCAGACGCTTCAGTGACATCACTAGTGTTTACACTACACCTGCGGGTAATATTTGATGACATTACTTGAAGTGAATTGGCCTTACAGTAAAAGTCCAAAAATCCGGACCACCCGAGAATCCGGACTTTTCGAAAACTAAAACTTTTTAAATTTAGCGGGCTTTTGTGGGTTATGTGAATGAATGGAGTTGCTTTAAAAAATTAATTTACATAATTCTAATAATAAAAGTAATTGTAAATTATAGGTAGCTAATTTTGTTAGTTTTGTAATTAGCTTGAACTGAAATGTAAAATTTGAGGCACTATAAATCTTTTGTGTGTATGTGTGCATGCGTGAATGCCACAGCTGCACAGCGACAACAAACGACCACACGATCGCCACTTTAAAACAAGCAATCAAACTCTGACAACGTATGTAATTTTGAGTCCTACTCTTTCCATGTACAGAGTACTGTACAAGCCCATAATAATGGCCCCTAAAGTAGATAAACTTCGTTGTGTGAAGAGAAAGAAGAACACATTGAAATTGAGTGACAAACTTGAAATAATTAAGAAACTAGAATGTAATGTGAGCAATGCTGTTCTAAAGGAAACATACATTGGAAAGTATACAATTTATGATATAAAAAAGGCAAAGAATAAAATTCTAGAATTCACAGCTTCTTCTGAGCCCTACATTAAAATTGCTGAAAGAAAAAGTTTACATTGGCCCAAATTAAAAAATCTTGATAAAGTGTTGCACGAATGGTTTTTGTTAAAACGATCAGAAGGTATGGCAATTTCTGGGCCGATGCTTATTGCCAAAGCAAATTCTTTTAAGGAGCAAATGAACATTGAATCAGAGTGCGCATTTAGTGATGGATGGCTTAGGAATTTCAAGACTCGTCATGGTATTAGACAGTTTGTTTACAATTTTGTCTAGTGTTGACTTTATTTTTCTTTAAAACTGCTCGTTTTGATAAATGAAGCATGCTTTATTTGCTAATGAATAAACTATCAAAATGTACCTGTTCATCTCTTCTTTATTCCTCCTTAAATTTTAATTTTAAAAGTACTGCCTGAGAATCCGGAAAATCCGGACCGACCCAATCCCCAAGCAGTCCGGATTTTTGGACTTCTACTGTATTTTAAAAAACCAAGGATGGTTGGTAAAGGACTACTGAGTCAGTGGGTAAGTGTCACTTTTGGGGTACTGGTCTAATACAGCAAATAGAGCTCAAAAGCTACTTTTTAAATGGAAATTTGGGGGGGCCGTCTTATGCACCCCGACGCCTTATAGGCCGCGATATACGGTAGCTAACCATTAATGGTAAAAAAAAAAAAAGTGAGACTGCTCGTATGTAAGTGCGCACATCTGAAAACATATCGTCATTACTCTACATAAGAATATGAAAGCAACACTTATTTACTGCTCATATATATTGAAGGGTTAAATGTTGTACTCTGTATAGACAAGCAGAGAGAGAGAGCAGCCGAACTGCCGGAAGTAAACAAACCTTAATTTCCCGTGGCTTTGTTGTTGTTCTTTTTTACGGGGATTAGCCCACCCGGGCATAGGTCACTGACCCACATTGGGGTCTGAGGGGCAAATTTTTAATACTCCTGTAATAATAATAATAATTCAGATAAAAAAAAAAAAAAACGCTGGCTATCTACCTATTGGACAGACTAAAATCGTTCCAGACCACGGGAGTTTCCGGACCACAGAATGCCGGACTAGAGAGGTACAACCTGTAGTAGTAATAATAATAAAGGACCATCAATAAATACAATAATTAAAAAAAAAGATCAATAGTGAGAAACGATATAATGTATGTATGTTGTGTTGTCAAAGTAAGATAAACAATTGAAACCCTGTAATTGTGTGTAAATGAGGCAGAAAGTCAGATCAGCAACCTGGGACTTCCAATATCTTCCCAGGCGGAAGTACCTCCCTGTTTGAGAGCTTCCTACTATCTGCTTGTTTTTGCTCTTACCATGTTGATGCCCATTACTGGAAGAAATATGACCATCTGAAGACACCTGCATTTGGGAAGTACAGTAGATGGAAAGGGGCAGTCCAGGTACCACCAGCATTGTGACGGTACATGTGCAACACTCACTTTCCTCCTGATCCCTAAGCACTTCTCTTAAGCTGATGTTTAGTTTGTCAGTGTCACTATTACTGAAACTTACAAGAGCTACCGTTTCTGAATTTATTCAGCCAATCTGCCAGTTCTTCAATTGCACCCTCACACTCTGATTCCCATAATATTTTACTTATTTTTTTTTGAGTGTCAATGCATAGTGCTTTTGGGTTTGAGAGATTTCCAGGAATAGAGACAAATTTTCTCATCCTCAGCATTTTTCCAGGTACTGGTGAATGTTTTTGTGTCGGACAGACTCAGCTGTATTTATGTAAACACATACAATATATTGTAAATAAACAAAATATGTTACTGTAACTGTACTGTACTCACCAGCAGATGCTGTCATCTTGAGCTTGTGATGCAGGCAGGCCTGCCTTCGTCCTGTACCATTTCCTGTAGCAGCTGTTGCTAACTGTCCCTTTCCTGCCCCTCCATGAAGGAAGGACTGTACATGTCCTGCATACTATACATACAGCCTCTACACACTAGCATACACTGTCCACTATGCTATGTACAGTACTATACATGCAATATTTTCACACTTACTGAATGTACAATACTGCAAAACACAGATCTTATGCAAAAACAGCATTAAGTAGCAGAAAAAGAACTAAGAGTGCCATGATACATCAACCAATCATATGCAGTCACATGACGGTAATAACCAATCGTAACTCAACAAGCACTCCGAGCCTTCCCACCCACGTGTCCAGCATGCGTCCCCACGTTGAAGCATGATGCAATCCCTCGGAAATGCATTTGAAGGCCCAGAATGGAAAGATTTTCTTGGAATGTACTGATGCAATCTAAGAAATTCATTTGAATACCCAGAATGGAGACATTTTTCCTGGAATTTCTCGGAATACTCAAAATAAATTTTCTGGGTAATGGAAGATTCTAACTAACAGAGACATAACCAGTGATATCACCATTAGCCAGAACAATTGGTGCAGTGCACTTCTGAGAATGATGTTTCCCGGGTAACACAACGACTCTCTCAAACCCGGAAAAATATCCCCCATCCCTGGAATTTTCCGGGTACTGGGAAATTTTTTTCGTAATTTTCCAGAAAATGTGCCCCCTGGAAAATAGTTCCCAAAGCAGCAATTTTCCGGAAAATTCAGGGTTTGGGAACGATTTCTGAGAAAATTTCAATTCCAGCTATCAGAGTTCCAGTTAAGAGGGATTACGGCTAATGGAGATAATACCTTTGAATCTCATAGGTCACATATTAATGTCCCAAACATCATAAATACTATTTAGATGTAAGTATAAACCTTTAAAGTTGTATAAAGTACAGGGTATGTGTATACGGTATTTAGTCTTACCACTTGAACAATTTCAGATTTCTTGGCATTCTCCTCACGGCGTATTTTGTTAAGGCGTCGACGTTCGATTAATTCATCTTTTTTCTTCTGCTTCTCTGCCTCTATCGCAGAACTTCTTGCTAAAACATTTTGACGTTCTTGCTTTAGTTTCATCTTTTTCGCCCATGACTTTTTACCAGTTGCATCCTTATTGATAGACCTAAACCTGAAAGATAAATACATTATCAATTTGCTATGTCAGACAACTGAAGCTCAAGTGGCCCTCCAACATCACTAACCCAGAGGAATCTTTGGATTCGTATAAGGAACAATTTATCATCAATAAAAAAAATTTAAATGTGAATAGTTCATTTCAGAAATGTGATGTACAGTACACCATTTAAACAACTTTGATAACTAAATATTTCCTGTCTACAGCTCACCATAAAGGAAAGTACTGGTACTGTACAGTAGCTACCTGGTTCATATTACAAGATGAAATGAAGTCACTATTCTATGGTTATTTATAATGATGTAGCAAATTTTTTAAAAACTGTTCATCTACATTCTACAGTACAGTACAGTATGTATCAAGTATGGTAACATTGTTACAATACAGTACAGTACTCCCTCTTTATCGACGGATTTTTTATCGACGGTTTCGATTATCGACGGATTATTTAGCCGGATTTTTATTTTGGCACCAAACAGCTTCTCCCAGTCCTCTCCTTGAACAGGGCTAGAGGGTACGTGTTTTTCGAATCGTTTTCAGTTAAAAAAATTTTACATCACACGTATATTTTACCTAAACTGCGCCTGAATGAATATATTCTCGGAAATAAATAGTAGTTTTGCTGAAACGTGATGTATTTCAATGTAAAATAGGATAAAATACATGACGGAAACAAAAGACTTTACCTAAGCTTCCGATGTTCTTGAGATGTTACTCGTTTTTTTAATAGTTTTCGGTTAAAATTCTGTTATATTACAATGATATTCTATTCATACTGTGCTTGATATAATACATTCACGGAAATGTAATATTTTTGCTAAAATGACGTACGTATTACAGTGGAAAGTGGGATCAAATCGTGACGAAAACAATGACTTGCGCTTTCTTTCGTTCAAAAGATGTTACCGTAATCACTTTTCGAATGGTTTAGTTAAAAAACTGTTGTATTGTATTACAATAATATCCTAATTGACTTGAATAAATATTACGATACCATATTTCTGAATATTTTCATTAAAATCCATCAAAATCATTTTCCTTGTCATCGTCTGCAGCACCAAACAGCTCCTCCCAGTCCTCTCCTTGAACAGGGCTAGAGGCTACGTGTTTTTCGAATCGTTTTCAGTTAAAAAATTATTACATCACACGTATATTTTACCTAAACTGCGCCTGAATGAATATATTCTCGGAAATAAATAGTAGTTTTGCTGAAACGTGATGTATTTCAATGTAAAATAGGATAAAATACATGTCGAAAACAAAAGACTTTACCTATGCTTCCGATGTTCTTGAGATGTTACTCGTTTTTTTAATAGTTTTCGGTTAAAATTCTGTTATATTACAATGATATTCTATTCATACTGTGCTTGATATAATACATTCACGGAAATGTAATATTTTTGTTGAAATGACGTACGTATTAAAGTGGAAAGTGGGATCAAATCGTGACGAAAACAATGACTCACTTTCTTTCGTTCAAAAGATGTTACCGTAATCACTTTTCGAATGGTTTAGTTAAAAAACTGTTGTATTACAATAATATTCCCTCCTAATTGACTTGAATAAATACTTGAATGGAAATATACAATATTTTTGTTGAAACTACCCGCGTTTCAGTGTAAAGTGTTGTAATAATAAATGGTAAACAATTTGCCTTGGGCAGCCGGATTTTTGGACTTTTACTGTACTGTACACTGTTTTGTTTACTGTAAGGACCGATGTTCACTTCAATAAATGAAATCGTAAGTTTGCTAGTATTTTTGTCCACTTATTATATTATTATTTATACACTATTATTTAAGGTTATGCGTAAAGGAAACGCATTAATGCTTAAAGGTACATTTATTCAACATATGTTAATACTAGTTAGAAAAATTACGTAACCATCACGGTATCGACGGTTTCTTTATCGACGGCCGTTTACAGAACGTAACCCCCGTCGATAAAGAGGGAGTACTGTACCTGTACAGGTATCATGTTTTGCAAATAAACTTCCCATTACCATATACAGTACTTTGTAATTTATATACTATCTAATATACTATAGGAATAGCCGTGTGTGTGTGTGTGTGTGTGTGCGCATGTGTGCGCGCGCGTGTGTGTGTGTGTCTGTTCTGGGCAGCCGAAACGGCACAATCGTTTTTCATCAAACTTGGTGGAAAAATCGTAAAAAATTCATAGAGTGGAACAAACCTGGTCCCATGTCAATGGTTTCTTTAGGAAGGTATTAATTAACCATTTTATTTACGCTGGAAAACGATGCAAGTCTACAGACTTGGCGCACATTCACTGTACGCTGTCAGCCGGACGGCGGTTGTGCGATAGCCAAGCATGAGCGTTCAAACTTTCACCGGGCACGAAGGGCCCGCGATCACATGTACTGTACTGTAATGGTTCTCTACATTCTAAGGATTTGCTGTATAAACTGTAGTAGGTCCCTAATGTTGAGTTTACCCATTCAGTCACTTACACCATTGTATCTTGATGAGTGTCGATGAATTGTGCTAACTGGGAGACACAATCAGTGCTGGAGACAGTACTAAACACGGCTAAATTACGAGAATGAGAAGTGACTGGAAGAAGTTTAGGGAGCTGCTGCCTCAACTAAAAACAAGAAAAATTTCTCTTCATGTGAAAGGAAAGGTATGCATGCAACTAGCATGACTGTTTTTAACCAGAAAAAAATATTAAAAAAAATGTTGATTGTGGGAACTCTTGTCCAAGTTCAGATAGAACAGACAGATGTGGATATGAAAAGCAAAAGGAAATTGGGAAGAAATCTCTCAAATGTGTGTTAATTAACTAATGCATGAAGCATAGTGAATAAAATATACCCAACATTGACTTTTTAGTGGAAGAAAATAAACCGCATGTACGGTGAACCCTCGAAGATCGGGACTAAATGGGGGGGACCACCTGTCCGAAAAAGTCGATTGTCCGAATCTTTCCTGTGAAAAAAGCCACAATTTTGAGCAACATATTACTGTACTCACTTTGTACTAAAAAAAATTATCTCTTGTCCAAAAACTATGTGATGTTTATACTCAAATTAGTCGCTACCATGCAAGGATTCCAGCAATGTAAGTTATATTCTGCTAAGTTTAGTCTGTGACATTGTATAAGATAAAAATTTTAAGCCTAAAACTACCTTCACTCTGTTCTGGGAATGCTTCTTAGCCCAGAACCCCCCAAACCTTTGTCCGAATCTTCGAGGGTTCACTGTAAATGATGATAACAGAGACCTGGGCTGGAAAACAGCTATAAATGATGCTGAAATTAGTCTAAGAGGATATAACATACAGCATATCCTTGTTATTCACAGGGGTTAGGTTCCAAGGAATAGCACGAATAGGCAAAACCACAAATAGCAACTTATACGACCTTAGTGCACTACAGTATTGTATACCTATACCAAACAACCAACCTGATGCAGAAGGAAAACACTCATCTCCTCTTTTAACTTATTTAACAATTCAACTTTCTTTGTCAGGCTCATCACTGACTTTTCTGCCTTTTACATTTCACTCAACTAGCATCATTTGCACTTTTAGGGTCCATTTCACACAGACACTAAAGTTTTGAGCACAACACAAGAGATGCTACATCGCAGGCAATGGATGAGTGCAAACAAGGGAGAGGAGACGCTCTGGGCGCATGGGAGTGACTCATTGTGCTGCGTGAGAGGCTTGTAAGCTAGCCACCATCTGCTTACTGTGAATAGTCGAAAGTGTGAATGGCAAACCCGTGAATAAAATGGGTTTACAGGAAAGCCTCCGATAACGACGGTTCTACTAACGACAATTTATTTTTCAGACCTTGGTTAATTTAGGACCCAATTCAATTTCCACCATTATTTTCTTCACATTTATTACGAAAAAAAAAAAAAAAAAAAAAAAAAAGAAATTAAATTTTCATATATAAATAATAACTCCCAATATGTAAAAAAAAAAAAAAAAAAAAAAAAAAAACAGGCTTGCGCACGGAGGCTGCCGGGCTTGTGAGTGGTGACTTCAGCATCACTAGTATAAATAGTTGCAGCTTGGCGGGCCTTTTGTTCTCATGCATCTGAACAGGAAAAGGAGAAAACTTTCTAAGGTTTCTCCTGGCATTTTTGCATCCCTATTCAACATGAGCGAGAGAGAAAGTGATAGTACTGCTGGTTCAAAAGCTAAAAGTGTATAAGCTTATTTGAGAAACTAGATGTGTTAAAACGATATGAAGGTGAGAAATCTGTGGATATTACAGGTAGTCCCCGACTTACGACTGCTTGGACTTACGTCCATCGGAACTTACGACTTGCTCTGACATTACGACCGTTGGGACATACAACCGCGGCAGTCGTGACCAAAAATATTTTCAAATGACGCGCGCATTTTCTATACCGAAAAGTTTCTGTCCGGGCGAGAGCGTGGCGGGCTCGGGTCCGCATGGGTGCACTCACTCAATGGAGCGCTTAGTTAGTGTTTGGCTATCGTATCCTATACTGATCGCGCCGTGAACTTTCGTTATTATCGTATTTAATTGACTTTATAATGACTGGAAAGCGTAAAAGTGAGTGATGGTGGTGCTCCAAAGAAAAGGAGACAGGCAATTACTTTTGAGATGAGAATGAAGATAATAACTCGGCATGAGAATGGAAAAACTGTAGCAACAATCTCAAGTGACCTAGGTTTCTCACACTCGACCATATCCACTATTCTGAAGGACAAGGAACGTATTCATGATGTAGTGAAAGGAACAACACCTACTGTATAAAGGGAACTATAATGTCAAAGAAAAGACAAGGTCCTATTCACGATATGGAAAAATTATTGGTGATATGGATAGAAGACCAGATACAGAAGCGTGTACCCTTAAGCCTTCTAACCACACAGGCTAAGTAAAAAAGAAGCCTGTTCCAAAGCCCGAAGGAGCAGGCAGGAGATGAATGTGATCAAACCTTTACAGAAAGTCAAGGGTGGTTTGATAGATTTAAAAAACGCTACAGTCTACAC